TGGGGATGATATAAGTGTTTAAAAATTGAAGAAAGTTGCAAGTATATTTAAATTTACTTACAGTAATTTGGGAATTTTATATGATGCCAGTTATATTTAAATGCACCTTCAAATTACAGTGCTTTGTATTTTACTATGATAACATGAAATATGTGAAAAACACACGAATGACTTTTTAGGAATTAAAGCAAAATATTATTGTTAGGTTGGTTTTTAAAAATAAATGTCCTGGAATCATTTATACCCCTTTTCCTACTAGTTTGATCCTGAAAATAAATTATAAGAAAAATTATTGCACAGGCGACAAAGCTCACTGAAGAGCCCGGGCTCGGTAGAGGCAAAGTGGTAAGTTGTTCTCAGTAGCAAAATGACAGTAATAATGATGATGATGCTAATGATGATGATGTTAATTTTGATTTTTGCATTGAATGATCAAGCTAATCATATCACTGTTTATCTTATAATGAAGCTGCTGTGTTTTCCTCCTGAGACTCCAGGCACCACTGCAAATGGACTTTACTCTGAAGGCTGGTAGTCTTCTTATTCTTGGCCTTCCACCTACTGGTGCTGTGTAGTTGGACAAACACCTTAGTGCTCCTGTCCCTCAGGCTCCTCTCTGAAGACCAGGATGAGCACTGGTCACATATAGTTGTGGAAAACACACGAGCTATCTGACGGAGCCCTCTTCTCTCTTTGCCCACCACAAACCCTTAATACATCGTTTGCTTTTTCTGCATTTTAGGGAAGGGTCTACAGGGTGTTCAGGGTCTCACTACTGGACCGGACTCATAGTGATCCTCCTGTTTACAGCCTCTCAAGAGCTAGGATTACAGGCGTGTGCCACCACACCCAGTCTCAATTGCCATCTCAGCCTGCTGGGGGTGGGGGGAGGGCCAGCACGGCAGGCCTGGGGATTGAACCCCCTAGCCCCTGAGCCTGCTTGCAGGCATTTTTATCTGCTGAGATATTTGTCCAGCCCACTAATATATCTTCTAAGTATTTGAAATATTTCATGCTTCAGAATGTAAAAATTTAGAAGTAAACTCATATTTTCAAGAGATTTTTGCCATTCTACAATTTTTTTTTTATCTTGAGCATTAGTGGCTGAGGTGTTTATTGCTTGGATCTCATAACAATATTTGCAAAAGGAAGGCTCCATGTGTCTTTCAAGCATGATAGGGTAGAAAAATGGATAAAATATCTGGTTCCTCAAAATTCTTTATTCTTAAAATTATCTTTCTTGCCCTTAAATATGAAAATGTTTTGTGGTACAGGCCATCTGAAAATGGAAAGTTCCTGCTCTTCAACCTTAGAAAATTACTATCACAATACAGATGTTTTTAAAGCTTCTATTGCATGTTTGTTTTTTTTTTTTTTTTGGGGGGGGGTTTTTTGTGGGGTACAGAGCCGGGGATTGAACTCAGGCCCTTGCGTTTGCCAGGGAAGCGCTTATTCTACTGAGCTATCTCCCCAACCCGGTATGTTATTAAGTGGTTGGAATTTTTGGTTTCTATCTCCTGTGAAGAAGTAAAAGATTCTCAATTTTTTTTCTTTTCATCAATGTAATAATTAAAGAGAAAAAATAAAAGAAAAAAAAAAAAAGAACAATTTACCTTGACAAATACCTAGCCCAAAATAATAATCATAAAGTTAGATACAAATGTTACTAGACCTGATACTCAGCATTCATTTTATTTCTTTAAAGAGAAAAGAAATTGCAGTGTAGCCCTCTCCTGCTTCTATATACTTTCTAACAGCAATTTATTACATAGCACATTAGGGATATTTTGGGAAAATAATACATACCCTTGAATTAAAATAGAGAAATACTTATATTTTCTTTTCTTCTCTCTCTATCTCTTTTTTTTTAATTTGGCAAAACTGGGGATTGCGCTCAGGTCCTTATGTTTGTCAGGAAAGTGCTTATTCTAATGAGCTATCTCCCAGGCCCCAACTTATACTTTCAATAAGGAAATGAGGTCAAAGTGATGATCACATCTAAACCAAAATAACTGAGAGGGCTTTTGCATTTTCTGTGTCAGCTACCATATCCTGAGACTCTGATACAGGACTCTAAATAAGAGGCACTAGACAAAAGTATCAGGAGTTGCAGAATGCCAACACGAAAAGTTGTGGGATGTACTTTTTGGGACTTCTATGTGAATCAGAACTAAACTTTATTGCATGAAGTTATTGAGATTTTTGAGTTGGATGATTATAATAATTATAATATTATAAGTCTGTCTCATTGAGACAGAACATCTGTTTTATTTGTGAAACTTTTATGAACACAGAATTTAAATGTCATTAGCAATGTGATATTACAGCAGGCAAAATGACCCAATTTTTATCAATTTAAAAATGTGACTATCCATAGCTTCCATTGTGAATATCCATGACATCTGTATGTGACAACCCAAAGAAGTAGATAATAAATAATGAAGCAGAGTGTCTGTTTGTTAGTCCTTACATTGTTAATTTCGTCACTGCAAGCCACAATTCATTATCTCAAAGCCTCACAGGCATCAACCCCAAAATTCTATACCTCAAATGAATTTTAAAATAGTTGAAGCATGACAACTTTTAGCCGTAAGCACATACTGTGTTTACATATGAATATATTTGAGTACAAACAGCTTGTGAAACTTAATAATTCTTTGTTTTTTTTTTTTTTTTTTTTGCATCTTCAGACTTGTTTTCTCATAATTTAAATATCTTTAAATTGAGCTTCTAAAGTTCCTTTGCTCAGTTTCCTGACCCTCTGTTGTATAAGGTGAAGCCGGGACTTAAGCCTATTGGTTGTCTCACATTGTAAGAAATGGATTCCACTCTCTGCAACCCTGCTCCATTGTACCCAGCAAACCTTACTTGTCACTAATTCCATTGAATGTAAATTTCTTCTTGATCATCCCCAAATCCTTGAATCTTCTACAGAACATCTAATATATTACTCCATGTATAACAACAATAACCAGAAACTTTAGAAAATTTAGTTACTGAGGACCACTTTGATGATTTCACCCCAAAAGGTATATTCCACCACTGCAGAGTCAGGGTCTTCTTCCAAAGTTTCCCTTCCCTCTCGAACAATAAATGTATATTATTATATACAACATCATATCTGGATGGTCTAGTCTAACTTAATAATGACATATTTATGAATGACTATGTGATCCAGTTCCGACCAAAGCACAGGACAAGTCTGTTTGGGAGTCTATGTGCCAAATTGCTATAGTTTATGTTAAAAAAAATAAATAGAGGGTTGGGAAGTACCATTCTTAATGTCTTATTGATTATTTTACTATCTTTAAAAAATTTAAAAAGACAAATAAAAATTAAGATTTCTTGAAAGCAAGCGCCAATATTCAATTATTTCCCTGATAATGTATAAATATATCTGTTAATCTGAGCAATAGTTTTGAAGATAAAAATAGATAATAAAACCACCATTGTTAAGTAGCCATTCCTGTTTTGAAAACCTATAACATATGCATTGCTGTATGTTACCCTACATTTTTTCCTTTCTTCTATTTATTTTTGCTTCTGTTTTTACTCTTCAAAATAAAATAAATACAATCTGATAAAAACACAAATAAGACATAAGCCTTTTCCACGCTCATTTTTGTTTCTTTCCATTGTTCCTGGAACCAGAATAAACATTTTGAAAACTTATCTTGAGAAAAAAGACAGAAGATGCAAAAGGAGAGACATGCAATGGACTGGCACATTTGATAACAATGTTTACTGAAAGCATCAATCCTGGAGAACCCATTTCTACACTTACAGAAGAACATAAATCCTATTAATTTTTATATATGGATTAAGCTTCTCATACCCTTTGAGGTAAAATTACCTTATTATACTGTACTAAATCTGTATAGCTAATATGAAAACAAAACTGCTTAACCCTACTCTATAAAGATGAAATAAACAATTAGCAGCATTACTGTCCCAATTACAATGGAATTATATTTAATTAAAGGAACAATGAAAAATTATATGGCTTTGAATTATACCATATATGCAACTATGGTGCTATGTGTTGTATTTTATATCCACAAGATAGCTATATATTTCAAATGTATGACCCATAGAATTAAAAAGCCACTACTTAAAGTACTATAGTAAAGAATTCATTTGATGAAAATTTGATGCAATGTTAGTTTGACTTTGTCCTATCAATTTTCATGAATTCCAGTATTTTTACAACATACAGAGTGAAACATATCAGAACTCTCTCTTGTTCACTAGTTTTATTACAAATCTTGTCTTTACACATCTGAATAAAGACTTATGAACATGTTCACAATTTTTAAGATTTTTTCTTATATAAACACATTCTCCTAGAAATTAAAACATTTTTGTTCATTATTTTCTCTCTATTTTGTCCTCTGTTTTATTGTATATCAATTCTAAAATGGGTAGATGTGCCTTCATTTGTAAATGTTTAAAAATTATACTATTGGTATTTTCAACGTACAATGACCAAATTTTCCTTATTAGGAACATTATAAAATAATATTGAAAAATCATCAAATCTCTCTGACTCATTAAAAAGTGATAATTTAATGCTTGTCAAGTTTGAGTCATTTATTCACTCATTCATTCTTGTAATGCAATAGCATAGCCATTGCAACGAACAACTAATCTAGTTGTCTTGAACTTGCATCCTGTAATATTTTGTTAAATATTTGTAAAAGACCATGGATATATGTTCAGGATAACGTTCAAGAAATTACCAAGTGGAAGGATATGTTCACTTTTAGATTCACTAAACAGAGTGCTTTGCCTTGATATTTGAACCTGAACTATGTGAGAATTTCCATATCTCTGGGAGCTCGATAACTTCCAAGAATATCATTGATGGGCTTTTCAAATCCTTCTGTTCTTCAAATTTTCTCCTCTACTTTGTACTATTCTCTAGGTGGTAGGTAGAGATAGACATACATATGGTCCACTGCTCGGCCCTTAATTTGGGGGTTAATGGGTAGACAAATTACCTGCCAAAAAATCAAATGTTTGCCCAGTGTTGCTAATCTTCAGAGACTGGAGAAGGGAGAAGGCTAACACCAAAAGCCAAATCAATGATATTCTTAAGTAGACCGTTGGTCTTTTCTCTTTTGGTTTACTTATTATCCAATTATCTGAATTAGATTTTTCTGGAGTATATAGCCTGAAAATTAAATTAATTTATCAATTAATACAGAGAATGAAAGAAATAAGGATTTCCTTAAATATTTAATCTTTGACAATTGATTTAATTACTCTGTATCCTGTTCCTAAAACCACTTTCTGCTGATTGAAAAGGAGCCCAAAAGAGTCAATTAAGTGATGTGCTGTGTTTACTTAAGGAGGGAGCAGCACCCAGCAACTCTGCCTGGCATGAGACAAGAGTGTAAAGGACGGCAGCCGCTACAAATGTCCCGTGAAAACATCAAATTAAACAAAATTTAATAATGTCTTGTGCCATGCGTTAATATCCTTTTGCAATAAGTAGGTATCATTGCTGATTAAAAGTTATGCTTTCTTTTTATTCAATGAAGTTGTTATAATCCTGTTACAATCAGGTTTGGCCAACAGCAAAAGTAAAAGGCTTAGGTACTATTCAAAGGAAACAATGTCAGTTTATAAAAATAAAATGTTTGAATTGTACCTATTATCTTGCTTCTGGGCAACATGACTTGCTTTGATTAGTTATACATCTTCAGTTTGTTGAAACCAATTATCTTCCTCATATATTACTTTTTGTGTGACTGACATTCTCTTCAAGTATTTAAACATGATAATGATAGCTACACAAATTTTAGTAGTCATGGAAAAGAATTCTAGGTGACATATACTAGATACTTCTTATGTATCGCAGATCATCTCTCTTTTGGAGAAAACACACTTCTAGTAGTTCACAGATGTAAACTTTCAGTTCCACAACATGTATTGAGTTTGAATTTTTGTGATTTAAAACAACAACAAAAAAACACAAACAGAGTCTCACTACGCAACTGAGACTCATTTATAGTGATCCTCCAATTTTGAGCTTCCCCAGTGCTGGAATTACAGGTGTGTTCCACCACACCCCGACTCATTCACTAGCTCAACGTGCCCCATGGGCTGGGCTGGCACGGCATGCGGGACCGGAGATAGAACCCCTGGTCCCTGAGCTTGCCAAAGGAGAAGCTTATTCCACTGAGCTGTCTCCCTGGCCCTTAACCAAAATCCATTAATCACACATTTTATAATCATAATATTAATTAATTTTACCATATACATTACTATCCATCTTTCAAAAATTGCTGGGTGATATGTTCAAAAATCATTTCTCTGTAGAGCCTTGATATGCTGTAAAACTATAGTGGATATAATTTAATTCCTTATAAATTGGAAATACACAGAATGATTAATCATAGCTTATAAATTTCATGTTTTCATATATCTCTCTTGGAAAGATAATTTACATTTATTCAATGAATTTTCCTATGCCAACATTTACGCAATTTCCTTTCTATTCATTTTAAAATTCATAGCTTTCTCAAAATATGATTTAGCTTGAATTGATATAAGGTTGTTTGATTATTTCCAGAGCAGAAATGTATCTTTTATCACAATACATGGAAGTGAGATAGCATCGTGTCACTGATCATATTATGTGGGCAACAGTTTTTCCCACTTACTGCTTTATGCTTGGGATTCTCTAATAATATCATATTACTTACCTCCCAGGGCTGATGATACCTTTCACAGGGTTTAATCTTACTTCTAAGATAAAAGCTTCTTGACATGGTAGTGGTGGAAACCGATAGTTTTGCATTGTGAATGGCAAAATAAGTATTTCTAAGGGAGGATTTCTCTGATTTTAATACACTGGAAGAACACAATGCCTAAAGAATATGGAATATAATTTACACAGCAGCTGTTACTGCTGAAATTACAAGTAATCCATTCTGGTGAAATAAATGTTTATTTTGACAATTAATCTCCAGCTTTTTCAACTTTCCTAAATGGCTGGAAACTACCAACAGAAATGTATCTTATTTTTAATAGGAAGACATATGCTCAGATGTACTATTCCCACTGGGAAAATTTATGATACAGCTACTATGATTTTTATTGTGTAATTTTAATGAAGCCAGGTGGGCCTGGAGATTGCCTCGTGGGTGATTTTCAGTGATGTACTAAGTTTTCATACAGGTATGCAGGGAATGAAAGGTGTAAGTCTATTCAAGGTATGAATTTTTTTTTTTTGAGTAAGCTGTGGTAGTGTGACTAGCTATTTGTTTATATTCTTTCAAGTTACTGAATTCATTAATATTTTATTTATTTATTTATTTATTTGTGGAACCGGGGATTGAACTCAGGCCCTTGCGCTTGCCACGGAAGCACTTATTCCACTGAATCATCTCCTGGACCCTGAATTCATTAATATGAATTCTTCAATATTTACTCTTAGTAACTTTCTTCACTTTTCTCCCTAAGGAATGCCAGCTGACCCTGACCTCACAGTGATCCTGCTACCTCCACCTCAGTAGTGCAGGGACTGTACCACATCCAGCTCCTGATATCTTTCAATGTCTACAGTCATTTCTCTATTATTTTTCTTGAGTCCAGATAGAATTTTGTCCAGTATATTAACCTTTCTTTAAAATAACTTTCTATCTCACTAGGGCTCGTGTTTTGTTTGAAATGTCACTTATTTCTCAGTATTTTTAATATTCGCTTGTTTGTTTTATTTTTAATTTTTCTTTGCCTAAGGTCTTAAGATAAAGTTTTAGTTTTTTGATTTGAATATTTTGCTGTGTTATAGCATACCTATTTATTTCAACAGAGCTCTCTCTAACCAATGCTTTAGTAGGGTCACACTATGACATGTTATACTTTCATGCCTATTCAATGCAAAACATGTTTTATGCTGGAAGTGGTGGTGTACACTGTTTCCCAGCACTCAGAAAGTTTAGGCAGTAGGATAAGCAATGAGTTTGAGGCTAGTCTGCATTACATAATAGGTTCAAGGTCAGCCTATACTATAGAGTGAGACCCTGTTGCAAAAAAAGAAAAAAAAAAAAATATATATATATATATATATACTTTTTAATCTCACTTATATTTATCACTTTGATCTATGGTTACTTCCAAATATAGTATTTAATTTCCAATTACATATTCAATATTTATATATCATTCTACTATCATGATGTAGCTTAATTTTATTAATATAAAATAATGTACTTCCTATTATATAAATTCTATTGATGTTTAATGGTCTACAATATAGGTCATTGGGTGAATGATCTGCATATGCTTGAATTATCTGCTCTTTAGAAGTTGTTTATTCAATAAATGTCAATTATCTCAAGTCTGTTGACAATAATTTTCAGACTTTTCATAAGCTTATTGATTTCCTGACCACTTAGTGTATACATTCTTGAAAGAAAAATGTTATAGTCACCAAGGATGAGAATGGATGGATCTATGAACCTTTGCCTTTAGTTGTATCAGATTGTATTTCATTTGTACTAAAATTCTGTTCTTAGTTGCAACACATTTAGCACTACATTTTATACATTGAAAAGTACATTATGTTGTTGATTATATTTTATTTGTTCCACCTCTTTTCCTGCCTTGTTAATTGACTGAACTCTTATGATATCATGTTATCTTCAACAACAGTTTATTAGTCATAGCTTTGAGGCATCTGTGGTGTACCTAGAGCTTGGCATATATCCCCTCCAGCATTCTTATCTCTTTTAACAGTGGAAATTAATCTCTGTATCTCTGATCTCTCTTGGAATATGATCTGCCCTATGCTATGGAGTTCTTCCTTTCCTAATTTTTTTGGTTGTCATTGTCTTCCTAGTGGTTATTCATAGTACGAGATACAGGCCTGATATCGAGTCCAAACACGATTAGTACAAATCTTTCTTCTCATTGAATTAAGAGAAAGTAGCTGTATATCTATCCTAAGTATTTTGTATATCCAGATACAAAATGGTCCTTCATGTGTATCCCCCTTTTTTTTTTTACTTAGTTTTGTGAGAGATGGGTATTCCACTGTCATTTAAATACTGTAGGTGCATGAATTCGGCAAAATAATCCAATATAGTCCAGTAGTCCATAATAGTAGTGAGTTATCCATAGGACTTGCAATGTCAGAAGTTATTGACCTGAGCCTTTTACAGCTCAGCATATTAATATGGCTTTACTGTTTACACTTCATTTTTATACTTTTCTGCTGGATGGTTAAGACCAAGATAAAGCAAGACCTACATTTATATAAAATCTTGCTTCTATCTTTTCCTTGGAAGGAAGCACACAGAGATAAGCTGATTTCCAGGCCCGACATCAAAGGAGCTCGCCCTTATCACTCCCCAGAGCAAAGGTGCCATTTCCTTTTCCCTGAAGTCTGATAGGACTCATTTTCCTCCCAGAGGTTTGACATTGTACAGAGCACCACTTTTTGATCTTTTGCTGTGTTACAAATATTACTTCTGAACGCCAACGAACGTCTATTCAAATGAACCTAGCATGGAGTAAAACTCTCTTTATAGAAGGCTTCCCATGGTTTTCAAATTCATTTATTTCTGTATATTAGGCCTCTGCTAAACTCATGACAGTTTCCTGATTTTTGAGGTGGTCACCTGTTTCTCATATTCTCTGTCACATGTGAAATAGCTGGTGGGGGTTATATTCACTGGAAAGTTTTCTTCTCTCTTTGGAATCCAGCTTATTTGATTTATTTTGCCACTTAGCTATTTGATGAGCTAAAATGATAACTTTTTACATTATCCCATGGGTATATATTTAGTGTTCAGACAGGAATATACCAACGGGATGACTACTTCCTTGGGTTTTCTACATCCTAAGTAGAAGTCAAGGTCTATCTTCATTTTTTTTTTTTACAAATTATTAATTTATTTATTTGATACAGGGTCTCACTATGCTGTTCACACTCATAGTGATCTTCCTGTCTCAGCCTCCCCAGTTCTGGTATTACAGGCATGTGCCACCACACCTTGTTTGGTTTTAGGGCTCGAATGGCACACCCAGGGTTCCAGTTCTTGCACAGCAAGCAGTACCCAGCATTGAAGTCAGGACCTTGCACTTCCAAGGCAGGCACTTAGACTATCAAGCTATCTACTCAGCCCCTAAGTTCTACTTTCTTGAATGAGTCACCCAGAGAATATTCTTTGGCATCATTCATGCACTGAATTTCTACCTGAGATCTAGATAACTGAAAATTATTTGAGCAACAGACAAATTGGCAGACAACACCAAAAAGCAATCTAAGAAATGAATCTTTTGTTTTACAAAAGTATGATCATAGATTTCTATATTCTCCTTGGACACTTTTTTGAAAGGAATTCTAAGTGCAGTATCTCTCACTATTTATCCCTACTTACCATTTTGGTTTTTTCTGAAGTAAGAAAGTGTGTCTAAGTTTCCTTAAATTTGTTCCACTACAGGGTTGTTTGAATTTTCAAAAATAACTGTATAGGGCTGGCGAGATAATTCAGTGGTCTCAAGTGCCTGCTTAGGAAAGCTTAGCCAGGTGCAGGGGACTGCAGTTGGATCCCCAGCACCACATGCCACACCTGCCCTGCCCTCAGGGAAGGCTGAGCCACCCCACCCCCCAAAAAAACTGAATAAACACATTTCTGTCTTCTTTACTAGGTTGATCATTTGCTAGATGAGCCTGCATTTTACAAAATTTATTTATTTATTTATTTACTTATTTATTTATTTATACAAGGTCTCACTATGTGCTCACCTCCTCCACACTGGGATTACAGATGTGCACCACAAAGCTCGGTTTCCATGGCTGGCTTGGCATGGGGCCAGCATGGCATGTGTATAGGGGATTGAACCCGGGTCCTTGTTCTTCATCAGGCAGGCAGTTAGACTGATGAGCTATCTCTCCAGCCCTGAACCTGTATCTTTTTAATTTTTCTGGATGTGAAAGTGTGAAATTTTATCAACTAGCAATCCAGATATTTTTCATGGTTACACTTGAAAGATAAAATGAAGCTAAATGTTTCAAAAAGTCCAACAGGATAAATACACCAAGCAGGGTGATTGGTTAAGAAGGAAAGAAAAGAAAAGAAAAGAAAGAAAAGAGAAGAAAAGAAAAGAAAAGAAAAGAAAAGAAAAGAAAAGAAAAAAGAAAAGAAAAGAGAAGAGAAGAGAAGGGAAATCAGCATCCAAAATTTACACTGTTACAGTAGTAAATCAATTACTTTGCTAATGGCTCCATTTGTGTATGGTCTCTATTTGCCAATCAAAAGGCACAAACTGACACAATGAATCTAAAAAGGTTTGAGACAAAAAGAAATTCATAGCCTAAGAAATAAAGGACAAGAAACAATATTCCAGACAAAAGGAAACGGAAAACAATAAAGGGATAAATGAACTGAAGTGACAACAATTGCAAACATGTATGCACCAAATACTGGTACACTAAACTTTATAAAACTACTACTGGACATTAAATATTAGAGAAATATCATCACAATTATAATAGAGGACCTTAATATCCCATGATCATAAATAGCCAGATCAAGACAAAAATCAACAAAAGACTATAGAGTCGAACCACACCTTTGAATGTATGGATTTAATAGATGTATACAATAATCTTTCTAATAGCAACAGAATGCACATTATTCTCAGCAGCACATGCCATGTTATCAGAAATGGACCACATATGAGAAAATAAAGCATGATTAAGTCAATACAAAAGCATTAAAAATCAACCATGAATATGAGAAGATAAAATGCAATGAAGTTAGAAATGAAAGGTCAAAGAAATCATAAAAA